TTCAACATTCAGGACAGTCCAACAGATAACTGCCCACAAATAAAGAATACATATATCAGGACTGAACAAATTAAACCCCTATGACAGTTTTTGCAGAAACTAGTAGCAAAGCTACGAGCTACAGAGTTAAAGGTCGACATATAACATCAATATAAAAGATTTCACTGTCATTTATACTGTACTGGGTCATCACCTGGGTAAGAATACAATAATAATAAAAAGAAACTTGCTTGAATTCTGCAGATTGTTATTACAGTAATATGAGAGAGTCCCTTTCATAACAGTCATTTTATTAATTCAGATGTACTGAGTTCTGTTCACAGGCCTCAAATTACTGTTAAGACATATGTCATCTGCTCAAGTGTCAGTCTGCCCCACTGATGTGTCCTGAGGGAAAGGCTACAGGGTTTGTGAATGCACAGGAATCTAGTGAAGGGCCAAGTTTAGACCACTGACGTTGCTGAGAACACAAGGTTCTCAACCAGGGGGAACTCTGAAATACCATCAGGCTCCTCATTCACCCAGCTGCCGACACTGTACCCCTTCAAAAACCTCTCACCCTTACCTATAGACTTCAAACCTATTTCACTTTATAGATTTCAAACTTGACTTATATACGGTAACATTAAAACAAAGTCAGGGCACAGATTTATTTACCTCCTCAAACACTTCTCGCACTGCTGCGCCACATGGCTCCTCCTCTGGCTCCATCCCTCCTCCGGGGACGATCCATTGGTCTGGATGCCGACTGCTGCTGACCAGCAGAACCTGTCAAAGAAAAAGAAAAACTTTAGGAAATGCAGACTGAGTTATTATTTTTACCTTAAACCCCAATAAACCAAAGGAGTTAAAGCACGCAGGAGCATACAGAGTTTCAGTGGCCTATATTGCAACTTGAGGACATGAACCATGACCCTTGGGACTCAAAACATCATAAAAAAAAAATGACTGATGGTTGGAGTTGGCTTAGCGTCGCTCACAAGATGCCAAAGACAGGATTACACTCACTCGCAGAACTGAACGCAGACAGCTGTGGACTGTAGGGAGACACAGGTGGTCTTATTTCACTACTTTCTGATCTCTTTAAGAGGATCCATGCACATTTAATGCTCTTAGTGGAGTGACTCCATGCTCCATGGTGCATGCTTTTTTCTTACGAATGAGAAACACCAGATTCAAGACCACGAGACAACACAAACCAAGGCTCAGGAGCTCCAAGCTAGTTCATAGATGGGATGATTGCTTTGTACCAAATTAATCAATCCAGTGTGGACTGATCCATTGTGGCCGCCATTTAAATAAGGGACCAGGTGAAAGTACTTTCAGTGTAGTCCATATCCCCTTGACTTTATACAAAAGGGGGGTTTTTTTGTCACGCAGACAAATTGAGTTGCATAAAGATGCTACACACATTCAGATAAATATATATTCTTTTGAGCAAATAATCCAGTTTTTACTCCTTTATTTACTCTTTTTCCCCCCCCCACCACTTCATGTGGATGCCCATTCTTGAAAATACTCAACCCTAATTAATACCAGTGTCCATGTGGTCCCGACACAACATGAACTCAGCGGACAATGCTTGTAAACTCAGCTGGGGGCCCCTAAAATTCTGCCAGTGCTCCCGAGTGCCCTGCTGGGGTTTGAATTACACGACAGTTGCAGTGTCCACTGATACGTACAGATCAGATGTGCCTGTGTGTGCGGTTTGCGGCAGTATCCACATAGCAATCGAAAGAAACACGAAAACAGCTGCTATGAGCATTATCGCATTTAGCATGAAGCTGTGTCACCATCATTAACACATACAGCCAACAAGTGTGTTTAAAAAAAAA